TTTTTTCTTAAGAAAAAAAAAACCCTGAATTTTCGCCTTGCAAAACCCTACATCCTCGTTTGCTATTCCTAGCCTAAAACACAAGAAAACATAAAACCCCTAATAACTCAACCAACTTCCTTTTCTCGCCAGACCCCGCCCAAAAACTAGAATTTCCCTAGTAAAAAAAAAAAAAAAACACCCCCTCTTCTCTCACGAAACCAGAGAAAAAAGAAAGTAAAAAAAAAAATCGCCCCTCTCCTCACGAGACCAGAAGAAAAAGAGGTAGGGCAAGGGAAAATAAATAAAAGGATCCCACATGCATGTAAAACTCGTACTGCCTTGTAATGCAAGTTTAAACTACAGCAGACCTTGATAGCCACATTTCTGAAGTTCAAAAGCGAGCACTTTGAGGCAGACGACATTATCATCAATGGCTAGAACTCTTAACCCTTGAGAAAAATGATTGTCGCGCTGTTGAAACGAAGGCTGAGAAGCCAAGTGAGCGTTAAACATCTTGCCGGACATATATATATGTATTGCTTAGCAACGTAATCTTTTTTGTGTAGATATCACAGTAATTTCGTGATTCTGTTGAAAAGCTGGAGAGGTTTAGGAGGTTTATTGGGCTAGAATTTCTAGGACTTGGTTAAATATCATATTGTGGGGATATATATAGATAAAGAATTGTACTTTGATTTGAGAAACCATCACATATTAAGAAAGATTTTTTTTTACTGAAATATATTGGGTTCAAGGTCTTATTACAGAAATAATATAAAGTTAAAAGAGGAAAATGTATCATTCGCAGTGAAACTTACCGTGTTGCCGAGTTTCCTAATGCTTATTTTCTTGAGTTTCTATATAAAAACCCATTTGAAAAGGAAAACCTTGAGGGAAAATAGGAGTTTTCACTTTAGAAAGAAAATAAGTGTATGCAGCAATGGCCCCTTGCTTTTAGTCACTTTTCAATTTATTGGGATTTTTTTTTTTTACTATAACTAACACGGTTGGTCTCGTTAACAGCAGCCATGATATACCTGTTGAACAAACAATTTATTTTCTATAAGTCGTTTTCTTTCTTATATATATAGATCATCTGATACAGTTGAACTTGGCTATTTTCTGAGTCTTTTTCTTTCTTATATATTTTCTATAAGTCTTTTTCTTTCTTATATATATGTAGCTCATCTGATGCAGTTGAACTTGGCTACTTTTTGAGTCTTTTTCTTTCCGAGTCTTTTTTTCTGGGACAATGCTTTAGGAACGATAGTTATGGTAACGAAATAATTTTTACTTACTATAACAGGTTGTTGCACTTTTAGCGACCATTGGATTACTTGTTAGACCTATCTACCTAAATAGGACAACACCTAAAAATATGGAAGTAAGTTTCCCACCTAAAATAGTATGTTAACCTTAATAGATTAGTAATTTTTATACCTCGAAAGGTAAATTGGAATAAAGATTAAACTTACTTTTTCAATAAATAAATTACTACTTTATATCCCAAACTTACTTTTTAGAGAGTAAGTTTAGTTCAAGTAACAATAAGTTTTTATACATAAATAGTAATCCTTACTAATAACATGGTAAATTTGATTAATGATCAAAACTTACTGATTTTTGGAATAAAAGTACAATTTTACATTAAAAAATGATCTCAAACTAGTATTAGGAAGTTTATTTGAAATAATGATAAGATATTTTATTAATGATTAAAACTTAGTACTTTAGTTAGTAAGTACTCGTAATATACATATATAATAAATAATTAGAGGTATAATTTAAAATTTTTTTGTATTTATATATTTTAAAATACTATGAAAAGTAATTTCACTTTTCAGATAACCTTGAAAATATATAATAAAATTTTGTCATATTATAAGTTTTTAATCATTTTCAATTTTTAAAAAGTTTGAAAGTTTGGATAACAATAACAACAAATCGTCCTAGTTATATATAGAATATCACTTGTTTATATATCACAATTTTTATAATTTAGCACCTATGAATATAATAAGATGATAAAGTTTTAATAAATTTACATCTGGGACACAAGAATTAATAAGAGTTAAAGCCCAAACAAAATGAGAAATAGTATAACAATAAAAATGACAAAATTAGTATAACAGTTTATATAAGAAAATTAGTATGATCTGGACTTTTTTCCTTGGGAGATTGTTCATAAAAATAAGATCCAACAATTAAATGAAAATCACTTGCACATATAATCTATTGTATAATTTAAATTAAATTCAGTTCACGTATAAAATGGTCCAAAAATAATTAGCGCACTATGATACAATGTTATTTTAACAACACAAATTTTTTTACTGAAAGTCTCAAATATCCATGACATACATATGAGGGATATTTTACCATATTTATATCTAACTATAAGCACAAATTTCATTGTCGAAAATAAAAGACATGAAAACTTGCACAAATATCAAATTTATTAAATCAAATAATAAGAGAGTTACAATCTCTAAAAATTCTTTTTTCTTTTGATAATTACAATTTCTAAAAATTCTTGAATCAAAGAAATTAATTTCCTAATTCTTCTCTTCAAAAGCACTCCTAATTAAAGCATAATAAAATCAAGTTTTTTTTAACTTTTTAATGTAGTAGTTATGTTTACTAAAAAATTAGTAAACCATTCCTACAATGCATTGCCTCTCCTAAAAGTACTAATATTTTGTAAATAAATTGAAATAATTTTGTAAAAGATTTTATGCATTTTCACTAATATAATCAAGAGAATTTTGCACCTTTAAAATATAAATAGAAAAAAAGGAAAATGGTATGCGTATAAAGGTGACCAAATGCAATATATATCACATCATGTGTTTAGATATGATTTGTTAAGCAATCAGTAATTTAGTCCTAGTCAATATATGATGCATATTGATTTCTTATAAATAAAAATATAATTTAGCAATTATGCACTAACAGAATTCGTAGTTTGAATGCAATCAATTGAGCACCTATTTCTTTTTTTTTAAGTAGCTATTATTTATTTTTATTACTTAGGTTATATATTTACATGTAAAATAACAACAATAGCATGCCAATTCTCGGACCAACATAACTTTAATTATTGTTAACTAAACAAATTTTACATTGATAAAAATTAGTCTAGAAAATGAAATGTTAATGGCAACAATTGGTAAAAAATAGAAATCTTTTAATTTTGGGAAAATAAAAAATAAGTTCCCAAAATATTTCACTTTTTTTAAAAAAAATCTGAACTTGTTAATTAAATTCAAAATGATTTTATTATAAAAAATATTCTTCGTCAAATTAACATCAATGATTAGACATGAGATACAAATATGGGGAAAAAAGAGATAAAAATATGGTAAAATATCTCTCATACATATATCATGGATATTGGAGACTTTTGGCAAAATAATTTTTTGTTGTTGTTAAAATAATATGGTATTGTAGTGTGCTAATTATTTTAGGATCATTTTGTATATGAACTAAATTTAATTTAAATTATACAATAGATTATATATGCATGTGATTTTTGTTAGTGGTTGGATTTTATATTCGTGAACAATCTCTAGAGAAAAAAAATTTCAGATTATACTAATTTTGTTATTGTATTAATTGTTACACTATTTCTCTCATTTTGTTAGGTCTATATTAATACAAGTTTAATTCTTATTATTTCTTGTGTCCCAGACAATAAACATATTAAAGCTTTATCATTTTATTATATTAATAGGTTTTAAATTATAGAAATTACATAGATAAGTGATATCTTACATATATATAAAAAATCTTCTCCCACGTTGATCCACGTGGTTGCTTTTGGAGAGGAAGCCAATTGTAGTAGATCTCTTTTGCCAAAAATACCCTTCAAATTTTAACTTTTAGGCTGAACAGTGAACTACTGTTAAGGGTCATACGTCTTTTACCATCTAATTACAACTTTGTCCTACCAGACATAACATCACCTCAAAACAGTAGATCACTGTTAAGGGTTATTTCCGACATGTTGGATCAAATTATCCTCCTGTCCTTTTCATTGTTTCCCGTTTCTTCCACTACTCCTCTTCTCTTCGGTGGAAAAAGAGCAGCAGACAAGCAGCTGAACAGCTTCTAGAGACAATGGCCAAAAATGGGTTGTCTACCTGCTGGGTGCTCTTCCAAAATAAACAAAGAAAAGCATGAATTCAACTCTTCCACCCACTTGGTCAACAATCTCATGCTTTCTCTCTCTTTCCCCTTACTTTCTCCTGGTTTATAGACAAAGAAAAGTGCCAATTGAATTCCTCCAACATTTGGTCAACAATTTGAAGATTGTTTTCACCAAATTACGACTGCTCATCGGATTTTGTGGTTTGTCCTCTTCTATTCATTTTTATTCCCTAACCATTGTTTTCCTCTTGCTTCCTCTCTTTTTCTCTGTTTTCCGTTCTTTTGTTTCCCCCTCATTTTCTTTTTGGTTCAGACCAAGAACATTTTCTTTCTGGTTCAGACTAAGAAAAGTACCGCTTGAATTCCTCCAGCACTCGGTCAACAATTTAATGATTTTTATCCTAAATTATGGCTATCTATCCAAAAAAAATTTTTTTTACTTCTGTACTCTTTATCATATCCCAACTATGGGATTGTGGTTTGTCCTTTTGTATTCATTTTCATTTCCCGGTTGGTAAATTATCAAGAGTCAAAAGAAAAATCTCTGACAACTTATCAAGTTTGCATCTGTATCCACTCTCTTCATCATGGCTAATACCATTGTTAGGGATATAGGTATATCGTTTTGCTTTCCTTATTGTTGATCAATTAGCAAAATATCAAGAATGAAGTAAAGTGTGTGCCCTCATATTAGGAATAGAAATACCAGTCAAAAAAACTTCATACTTCTTCTACCTTCTTCTCTGCAACCTTTCGTGCTAAAGGTAACTACTCCTTTTCTTTGTCTAATTTTTGGCCCTACCAATATTAAAGAGACTGGATAATCTGTCTACTTTTTATTTTGGTTGTTAAATTTCTTCAGGGGGTTAATTGCAGTTTGAAACAATTGGTGCAGAGAAACCTCTGATTTAGCATCCACACATTTGCAGTAAGTAGTTGCTTAAATTTTACGTCTCTCTCTTCAGTCCTTCAGTTTCTTGACTTTTCTTTTTCTATTAATAATATAGTACAACTAATTACCAAGGAATGGTTGTTACTACTTACTGAATAGAGATAACCAAGCTAAAACAAGTTAAATTCTCAATCTGAAGTGTAACCTTAAGTTCCAGGCTTATGAAAAAGCATTAGAATGAGTCTTACATATTAAGGTTTTACCTCATGTTGAAGCTATTATGCACAAAAGTTAGGCAACCGATAGAAGAAACCAAATTTAAAATAGATAATCCTAATATTAAGCTTCTAGGATTTGTTGTAGCTGCCTTAAAGGTGTAGAATATTAATTCCTCAAACCTATTTCTAAATGCAGCGTTCCAGGTTTCACAAAACTCTCAAGTCTTAAAACCACAACATGTTTGCTATTTTATGCATTCACATATTCTGAATACAGTAAGTGATGCATAATCTGTTCTATGAATACTATTACACCCAATTAAACATTACAAAATCTGTGGCAGTTTCTCTAAAAAAACTTATTTGAGAGGTGATTTTTTGTGGTTATAGTAGCACTGATGTTACACATTTACTCTGGTTTTCATGTTAATGTGAGAGTACAAGTGCAAGAGACAGGCTATGCATATTTCTCTTTTACCCTATTGTGGGGTTTATGTTAGAAATTCGATGCAGGAAGCAATGTTGTTTGGTTTTTTTTTTCTTTTACATATATTCACATGGATGGAGGCTAAAGAAAGATCTCGAATGTCTTCTGCTGATCATGCAATGAGATTGGAATTGACAATTAAAGTGCATACTGTAGGGGAAGCAGGAGTATTTTGAAACTTTGCCTGACACTGTTTCTAAGAAAGTCGCCTGTCTCCATCTTCTTCACTCTTATGTTAAAGAAATGTCCACTGACAAGGCCGATGCTTTGATGCAGAAGATGAACAGCTTGGGGCTAATTGTAAACCCTCATCCATTTAACGAGATGATGAAGCTTTACATAGCAACATCTCAACATAAGAAAGTGCTCGCTGTCATAGTGCAAATGAAACAAAATCGAATACCAAGAAATGTCCTATCGTATTTGGATGAATGCGTGTGCAGAGCTGTCGGGTGTTGGATCAGCTGAGGAGGTTTACAAAGAAATGATACATGACAAAAATGTTGTGATGGGATGGAGCTCTTTATCTACTTTGGCAAATATTTACCAAAAATCAGGAGCAATTAACCAGGCTTTTTGGGCACTAAGAGAGGCAAAAAATAAACTATCTAGCTGTAATCGCCTTGGTTATGTATTTTTGTCAACAATCTATACCTCTTTGAACAAGAAGGATGAAGTTGTGCGGCTCTGGAAAGCTAGCAAAGAAGTAAAGGGCAGAATCACATGTGCGAACTACATGTGCATCTTCTCATGTTTGGTGAAACTTGGTGATATTAAAGAAGCTGAAAATATATTTCTTGAGTGGGAGTCACAGTGTAGGACATTTGATATTAGGGTGCCAAACATTGTTCTAGGCGCATACATAAGGAATGGCATGATGAAGAAAGCTGAATCATTATTTATCTGTTCATTGAACAGAGGTAGATGTCGAAATTATAAAACTTGGGAGATATTCACAGAGGGATGGGTAAGGAGCAATGAAATGGATAAAACTATAGATACAACGAGAAGATCCCTTTCTACGTTGGAATATTTGCCTTTCGTTCTATTATTTTCTTCTGTTTGCATCCTCATATAGCTCACTGTACCTGAAGATATTCAGCTTTGGTTCTTTCCTATTAAAAAAACACATTTCAATATTTGTTACACAATACTTGGGCATTGGCACAGCCAAAAATACTCTAGTTCCATATATAACTAAGAAAATGTGTTGTTATTATTATCCAAACTTTTAAACTTTTCAAAAATTATAATACGACAAAATTTTATTATTTTATAAGTTTATTTGAATGGTCAACATATTTTTCATAGCATTTTAAAATATATAAATACAAATAATTTTTAAATTATACATATAATCATGTATTATACAAGTATATTACGAGTACTTACTAACTAAGGTACTAAGTTTTAATCATTAATAAAATATTTTATTATTATTTCAAATAAACTTCCTAGTATTGGTTTGGTATAAGTTTTTAAAGAAAAATAGTACATTCGTGCCATAAATTAGTAAGTTTTGGTCATTAATCAAATTTACTATGTTATAAGTAAGAATTACTATTTATGTATAAAAACTTACTATTATTTGAACTAAACTTACTCTTCCAAAAGTATGTTTGGAATATAAAATAGTAATTTATCTCTTCAAAAAGTAAGTTTCATATTTATTGCAATTTACCTTTTGAGATACAAAAGTTACTAATTATTATGGTTAACTTGCTATTTTAGACGAGAAACTTACTTCCTTATTTTTAGACATTATCCTATTTAGGTGGATAGGTCTAACAGGTAATCAAATGGTTGCTAAAAATATAATAACCTGTTATATCAAGTAAAAACTGTTTAGTTACCATAACGATAGTTACTACAGTATTTTCCGTAGCTCATCTAATGCAATTGAACTTGGCTACTTTCTGAGTCTTTTTCTTTCTTTTTTCAAGTCTACTGTGGGGGATTTTTTTTTAATTTATAACAAATATATTGTTAGATTTATAAGTAAAGAATTATATCTCATATTGGTTCGAGATACAAGAAAGAGTGATTAATATGTAAGTAAGGTCCGAAACCGAATAGCTTAAACTTTTGGATTAGAGTTGGATTCCTGACTTATATATTGGACTCCTTGATGGGCTCTCTCTAAGTATTTCTCCCTTACAAGTGGTATCAACCCTTCAAGTTGTAAGACTGGGTTACTCATAAGCAAGTGGATTTTTCTCGGAGTTGGACTGGTGAAAATTCTCTTCTTGATGATGGATCGAAATACTAAGGAATTTGGTTGGTGTTAGATCAGGTGCACCATAGGTTTGGTAGGAGGGTGGATCCATGATTAAGAAAAGATGTTATGTCTCACATTGGTTCGAGAGACGAAAAAAGAGTGATTAATATGTAAATAAGGAACCGAAACCTAATAGTTTAAAATTTTGGGTCAGTGTTGGATTTCTACCTTACATATTAGGCACTTTGGTGGACTCTCTGCAGACGTTTCTCTATAATATATATTACTCCTACAATTAGTTTTGGGGTTAAGAGCGATCACAATTTTAGGTTTTTCTTTTTAAATGCAATGGGTATGTTTCCGGCAAAAATAGAAAATTCTGATGTTTCGATGAGCGCCATATAAAAATTAGTCCTTAGTTCTATTGACTTTTTTTTTTCTTTTCTTTTGTGTGTAGGAAGTTAGACAGGTTAAATTGAATAGATTAGTCCAATTTTTCATTTTCGCTAAATAGCCCACTTAGACAGATGATGGGCTATACAATTGCCTGATCTAAGACCTTTTTTTTTTTTTTTTTTTTTTTCTCTCCGTAGTGTCAAAGATTCTTGATTTTAAACTCTCCAAAGATCCGTAAAAAAATTCAATCATTTGCACGGATGAAGTCTTGGTAATAGTCGGTTGGCTCAGATGATGTTCCGAGTTAATTTACACACTCCTCATGAATGAAGAAGGTCTCATTTTTTATCAACACAAGAACTTGACTTGAGGTTCCTTTTTTTTTTTCTTGCAACTAGTACGTGACTTTGGTGCCATATATATATATCTCCTAAATGAACACAAGAAGACTTTGAAATTAAGCTCTCTTAATCATATATTACCTGACTTAACACTCCAAAGTCCACATCAACCCTACTGTATCTACATGTCCAAACAAAAATGTCTCATTTGGTCATACAGTAAAAAGCTCGTAATGAAATTGTTGACCCAAATCTTGTTTTAACCGCAAAGGCCGAACCAATAATATCTCATATCCAACTTTTTGCTGGCATCCTTGGATTGGCCTTTAACTGAAATTAAGGTTTTTCTATTCTATGCCTTAGGGGCACAAGATGAGAGTAATCACATTAGCTAAGAAAAAAAAAAAATATGATGTATGTGAGATTTTAAAAAAATGATTGAAAAATGTGTAAAAGAAATATTCATGACAAATGCAAAAGATTTTATCCAGAGAAACGCAGTCCAAACAAATTTTAAGTAGCACTAGCACCAGACAAGTAGTAATAAGTAGTTTGATTCATCAAAACTTGTTTCCTCAACGAAAATCGAAAAGAAAAAAGGAAAAAGACATTGGGCAGCTTCTAGCAATTGAAATGGGCTATAGTTACCTTGTGAATTCTGGGATCAGACTTTCAAATCCTCTCTCATTTTTTGTACTTCATTCTCATAAGATATGGAATTTCCTCCGGCAAATTCACGCTTAAAAAACCGGAAAAATTTCCTCAAAATGCCATTCACATTTCGTCAAATGATTTTTACCATCATTCACTCTTAAAATAGTAACTTTATATTTTTTACAAAATCAAATAAATAAATTTTGGTCACAACCTGGATTTTCAATCACTTTTTATCTTAAATTCATCACATGACCCATATATGATTATTTTTCTTAGAGGAAAAAATGTTAGATCTCATTTATAGTTAAACAAATGATCGTTCCATATTCATTTTTGCCTTAAAAATGTTGGATCTGACCCAAATCATCTACATTTTTTTCCTCCAAAGAAGTGGAATTTGACCAAATTCATATTCATTTTTGTTACTAAAAAAGGGATTTAATATTTTTGTAGATAAAAAATAATTGTATGTGAGTCATGTAGTGATTTTAGACTAAAAAATGATTAAAAACTTAAATCGAAATCAAATTTTGATAATTTAAATTTATAAAAAAACATAAAATGAATATTTAAAAAAAATGTGAACACATTTTGAACGATTTCCCTAAAAAATACATGCCCGGGGGAAGGCCGCTGCACTGAGTGCAATATGGAGGCCTTCCGCTATGACTTCCCCTGGACGTGCACATCCCGACAATGGACATGGCATTAATACTTTGGACGACTACTACTATTATTTACTAGAATGAAAAATCTTTTCTTGCTCTCTTCATCAGAAAATGAAACAAAACCAATATTTTGTTCCAAAAAATATTATTGGAATTTGGAAGAAACAAAATAAAATCAAAATATATAAAATAAAAGCAAAAGTCCCGGAATACCCACGACTACAAGCGAGAAAACGAGTAAAGTGGGGTTTCTGGTTCTGGTTCTGGCTTTCATCCCATCTTCAGAAAAATCTAGTCTCCAACGTCGCCAACCATCGTACCCAGTCAACACCAACCCACCCCCGGCCCCCGGCCCTCCCCACCCCAGCAACCACCTCAGTTTATCTTCTCCTCTGTCTCTCCTGCCTCGAAAAACCCTAGTCCGATTATTATTATTACATTTATATTATAAATATTCCTTTGTTATACATACATATTTGTTGATTGATTGACTTTCTGCATTTGTCCCCAAGAGAGTTGTTTGATTATTGTTGTTATTGTACATTAGCAGTTGCTATTATGTCTTCGGAGATCGAGGTGGTGGAGGAGGTCGAAGAATCCAGAGATCATGGTCGATCATCGCCTACCTCCGCCGTGTCCACCACGGCCAAAGGCACCGGGGGTGAGATAGAGGAGGAGAGCTTGAGGAACGATGTGTACACGGCTGCGGCGTATGGGGATATGGAGAAGCTGCAGAGATTGGTGGAGAACGAGGGCTGCTCTGTCTCCGAGCCGGACTCCCTCGGTCACTACGCCCTCCAATGGGCCGCCCTCAACAACCGCACTGCTGCTGCCCAATACATTATTGAGGTCAAGATTGATTTTTTGTTTTCTTGTTTATCACTCCGTAGCTCACTATTGGTGCCTTAAGTACTTTTTCCCCGAAATCATTCAAGTATTGTATCGCGTTTGTCACTCCAATTAATCCGCAGTTGATTTTCTGCCTATTGTTGTTGGACATAGTCAATTCAAGAGTCAATAAAGATGTGAAGGTGCTGAGGATATGTGAATTTTTATTGTAAAAATGTTACTGAAATTTGCACGGTCAACTGGGATTCTGATCTCGTGGTATATGGAAAATGAAGAACAAATCAGATGAGGCATGTAAAATTTGAAGGACAAACTATATTCTTCTTGAAATGAGGCATGCAGGTGTACTTAGTATTCAAACACTAATCCTAAAGCTAGTGTTGCTTGGATTTCAATTATTTCTAGGGGCATCATATGATATGGTTTCCTTTCGTTGAGTTGAATATGAGATGGACTGGCATTGAAACTACCATTATTATTTTTTTAAAATGCTGTAGTTGAAACAATGGCCTCAGTTTGAGTGATAGTTTTGTTGTGACACATTGCTGGCAGCGTGGTGGAGACGTGAATGCTGCAGATCATACAGGACAAACGGCACTCCATTGGAGTGCAGTTCGGGGTGCTATCCAGGTGGCTGAAGTTTTACTTCAAGAGGGTGCTCGGGTGAATGCAGCTGATATGTATGGCTATCAGGTTTGTTTTCATTCAAAAACTTTGCTTTATGTACCATTTTGCTGTTTAGAAGACTGAGTCGTATACCTTAAGACTTGTATGGTTTTGTCATAAATCGTGATCTGTACTCTTATGTCTCTGAGCAAATACCTTGTCTTCATGTTGAATATTGAATTCTGGATACTTGCCATCTTTGTTGCAGACAACTCACGTTGCTGCGCAATATGGTCAGACATCTTTCCTTTATTACATTGTAACAAAGTGGAATGCTGATCCTGATGTCCCTGATAATGATGGAAGGAGCCCTTTGCACTGGTACTTGAAAAATGTAATTTTTATTTTCTAAAATCAGAGGAAAAGCTTTTGTTGCAATTTTTTTAACACTGTTGACAGCTAGGCATGTAGGTATTTGAACACCCATAATTGTTTTTTTTTTTGTTGAATTATCCAAGTCTTTCTTATACTATGTCATCCCTTAACTTTAGATGTTATGAAAACTTTGAGGATTTCTTCATCCCTGATGTGATATTATTGGTTTCTTAGCTTTCTATTAGATCTTAGTCGTGTTTTCAGCAGACACATACTTGCCAAGAACTTGCTAGCTGTCCAGCATGCCTATGAGCCTGACATATTTCATCAATATGCAATCTTTAGGCTATCCATGTGAAATTGAAGTTAATTCAGATTCAACCAACATTTTAAAGTGTGTGGTTGGAATGTTGTTTTGTCTTTTACATCTCTTTAAATCTTAAATATGTATTCAGTATCCCATGCTGAATACTTCCCTTCTTTGATACTGGTATCAACAGCAAAGGGGAATATAGAGCTCCAGTGCATCAGTTGCTTTTTGCCTGCAGATGCTGCCAGCTTTTGAAGTTTTACCGTTTATCTGTATAACAATAATATGAATTGAGTGCTCTATTTTCACTTTGGAATGTAATTGTAGGGCTGCATACAAGGGTTTTGCAGACTGTATACGTCTTCTGCTATTTTTGGATGCATATAGAGGAAGACAGGATAAAGAGGGTAACTTTTAAATGTTTCTGTTCCTTTTTTCCTTTGCTGTAGACATGAACTATGAGTTTGAAAAGTACTAACAAGTGAGAATATACTGCTTAAATTTAAATTGATCTCTCATAATGCTTCCATTTTTAGGCTGTACTCCTCTACATTGGGCTGCTATCAGAGGTAACTTAGAAGCATGCACAGTGTTGGTACAGGCTGGCAAGAAGGAAGATCTCATGTTGACAGATAATACTGGCTTTACACCAGCACAACTTGCGTCTGATAAGAATCACAGACAAGTTGCATTTTTCCTTGTAGGTATCTAATAAACTATTACATGTGATGTCAAACTTACATCAACATACTCTACTATTTGTTGTTCTTCGTATTTTGTGCTCCAGAAAATTAGACTTCAAGTTTTTATTTAATTTTTTAATTTTTTAAAATTTTTTGCAAACAACTCTCCAGAATATTATTCGGTATTGACGATTTATGGCAATTAAATTGGTTAATTGCTACCGTTGTCCGCAGTTAATCCACCTGTTTAGGTTGTCAGCTTGTCTTGTTCAAAAGCATTGTGTTGGTTTTTTAGTGTCCCTTAGTTGATCTCAGTCTAGTCATGGCAAGATTAGCAACACACTATATTTTGGCCAACTTGGTGCAAATCTACAAGTCTGAATAGCAACGAAATCTTTGATTACTATGGACACTGATGATGTGATATTTTGCCCTGTGGATTCTTTTTTTACAGAAGCTTCCTTTTGCTTTAGATCTATTTTTTGTCAGTAGCATGGGAATATGCATGTTTCAGATTGTGAGAATCATTTGCCTGGACATTGTCTCAGCCTTCTAGAAGTCTTTTTGGATCACATAGTCATGACGACCATGATATCTTCTTTCCTTAAGTTGGCACAAATATCACTATTCCCAGAAGTATCCCTACATTTATATGTGAGTCATTTGAACTTCATGTGGATATGCCTTGGAAAATGCAAAATTTCACAACGGATCAGTGAGTGGTGATTGTTTCAGAAACCTGGTAATGCAGGCTTTCCACATGGTGAACTTCCAATAGAGTTGTGCTTATCTTTTTATCTTTTTGATTCCTAGGTCGAAGCCCACTATCATTTTGCAGTACATGAGCAGTAGTTCTTTGAACATTATTGGCTTCTGACAGAGCTTTTCGCATCCATGTTTCTGAAGTATAAAGCTTGTGTTTTGCAGGGTAATGCCAGAAAGCTGCTTGACAAACGTTGTGATGGAAACAGCCGCCTTGGGAAACTATCAAAATTGGGGCTTGCTCCTGTTCTTTGGTGCACAATATTTTCGCTTCTTGTGACCTACACTCATTCAGTAATCATGGGTACCTTTCCTACTAGTTGTTGGTTTTTCATTTGGGCCTTACCTGTGCACGTTATATTGCCTCTAATATGCTGTATTACATTCGCTTGAGTGCAGCTCCAAATCTGCCAAAATTGACAGCTGGCTTCGCTCTTCTCGCATGGCTGGGTGTTTTCCTAGCAACTTCTGGATTAGTTTTGTTTTACAGATGCAGCAGGTACTCCCTTTTTTCTTTATATAGTTGGCGACCTAAAATACAATCTTTCATATGCTTCTGTAGACTTGCTGCTGGATAAGTAGTTGTGATACTTAAAGGTGGTTCTTATAATTGTCAAAACTATTACAAAATCTTGAAGTTCTTAATCTTTCCAAAGCTGTAGGACTCTTGTTATCAACACTGTTCTTTTCCATTGATCATCTCTTTGGTTGAGCCGATGTGGTGAATTATTAGGCCCACCAACATTGAAACTGCCCATTTCAAGATTTCCATTTTGTCATTTGTTGATTTAGTTGAGCACTAGGACTAGCTTCAGAAATGCTTTTACTTGCAATAGGCTTAAAAGCGTGGGGCTTTTTTTATTGCAGCAAAGATCCAGGTTATATTAAGGTGAATATGCATGATTCCCAGAATACAAGAGATGATGTAAGTTGCCCCAACCCCTTTTCTTCCTCTTGGTTCTCTATTACAACCTTAATAATGTATGGCCTTAAGTTGTACGAACTAATGCTTCCTTCATGTTAAATCTTGCTCTCTGACTAGATGCATGTAACTTGCATTTCATTTGAGAGATATTCTTGAAATCTTATCAGTATTTCATTTGTAATTTTCTGTTAGGAACCCTTGCTGAAGATGGAAATAAATCATCCTGCACTACTTGCTGGGAACTGGGCTCAGCTTTGCTCTACCTGCAAGGTGCTATCTATTTCTCACTCTTCTCATTTGGACTTTAGTTTTATATTTGTTGTTTTTAACCTAATTTGGTCATCTCATATCAGATTGTTAGGCCTCTTCGTGCAAAGCACTGTTCCACGTGTGATCGGTGTGTTGAACAATTTGACCATCATTGCCCTTGGGTGTCTAATTGCATTGGCAAGGTTGGTTTTTTTAACCTTTTGCATTTATATCCTATGAATTCATATCTGTTTTGATACTTCATCACTCATTACACGTAGCATAAGCAAGCCAAGTGTTTGAGGAAAAAAGAGCATGGTGGTGGCAATAGTTTTAGGCTACTGTTGCATTGGCAGCTTAAGATAATGATAAGGTCTTTTTTTATCCTGCTGGTCCAAGATTGGTTAAAGTTGCTGCAGTTGAGAAAGCATAGAGCTATATCCAGAACCGTTATTTGCAGTGTGCTTGCAAAACATAGATCTGGTACACCTAGAAGTTTGATGATTCTTGAGGACCTTGAAAATTTCTGTATTACCTGACTTGTAAATGTAGGAGTTACCTACCTGCGTAGAGTTGTGCACGTTATGGGTTTCAATGTAGGAGAAATGGAAACCACCAAATACAAGCCTTTTTTTTTTTTGGTGGTGGTGGTGGTTGTAATAATTACTAAGACAGGTAATTTCTTAGCTGGTTTGGTCAATAAATGTGGGGTATATGATTGTCTCGTGTAAATGTTTAGTAGATGTGCTGTTCCTTTTGCAAATGTATGTGGCTCTGAATCTACAGCTTGTTTTAAATAAAACGTACATCTGATTTATGCTGGCTCTGATCTCATTCAGAAAAACAAATGGGATTTCTTCTTATTTCTTGTTGTGGAAGCCTTGGCCATGGTGATAACTGGTGGTGTTGCTCTTACAAGTAAGCCATTTTTTACCTTTTATGCATGTCTCGTTCTCTTCCTCATATCACGCATTTTTTTCCTGCTTATTATCTCGTTATGATTTGCCTGTTCTTCTACAATGCTATATATCGAACGTGCTTTATGCTGCAGGAGTCTTGACCGATCCACTAGCTCCATCTTCATTTGGGGGATGGTTGAGCCATGCTGCAAACGAACATGTTGGTGCTTTTGCATTTATTGTCTCAGACATTTTCCTCTTCTCAGGAGTGGCTATCTTGACTGCTGTTCAGGCTTCTCAGGTATTCCAACGTTTGTAGAAGATCCTGTAGGAGGAGATGAAATTTCAGTAATGTTTGTCTTGTGAACTTAAATGATTTTACAACTCAAGGGCTGCAGCGAACAGGCTTTAGTTTTTGCTCGGTCTTCATCAGTCTTTTAACACGTTCATCCTTTGGTTCGGAGAAGTATCGTGTTGTTTCTCGACTAATTCAGAATTTTAATTCCTTTTTGGTGCCACAGATCTCTCGTAATATTACGACGAATGAGGTAGCAAATATAATGCGGTATAGCTACCTGCGGGGGCCTGGTGGGCGGTTCAGGAATCGTTACGATCATGGGTGTAAGAGGAACTGTTCAGATTTCTTGATAACTGGTTACAATGAAGACATCGAGCGTGACGAGGAATCAGGTGAATCGGAAGGTATCGGGATGATGCAGATTGGGAGGACGTCAAACCTTCAAAATGGGGCATGCCATTCTCATCAAACCAATGGCAACACCGACGGGAATGGTGGTCATGTTGTAGTTAACGTGAATAAGAGCTCAAACACCCATCAGTCTCATGTTCATTCTTCCCTCTGTACTCATCATAAAAACAACCAGAAAACTGATAGCGTTCCTGTAGGATTAGGAATTGGGCTAGGTGGTCGGAACAGTGGGAGATCTGTGATAGCGTCATGATTAGTCCTCCTCTGCTCTGCTGTAACGGGGGGTGGATTGAGAGATTAATTGCTTGTTTGTACTTGCGACGGTTTGTAACCTCAATAGGTAAAATTCAAATTGATTTTGCTTCGTCCAACTCCGTCCTGTCGGTAGTCTTTTCTGAGGAAGACGAAGAGGGAGCGAGATACGAACTCTTCCCGCGCGCTTCATATCCGTAATATGATATATATATATATATATATATATGACCGAGAAATTTCTTTCCGTGCTATTTGTTTATTATTATTATTATTATTTTTTACACGTAAATCAGGTTCGGTCTGATGTCCATGATGTGTTATTTCGCTTTCACATTAAATGTTGTGCCTCCGCGGTTTAGGTCAGCGAGACAGGATAAGAGAAAAAAGGTGCTTCACAGTGGAATTTGATAATGTATCCAGCCGACTCGTGCTCCCGTGTCCTTATCTTCCTTCTTTCTTATTAAAAAAGAAAAGGAGAATGCGGCGATGCGGATTTTCGTCGAGAGAAACATTTTTAAAATTAAAAAAAATAAATAAATTTTTTTTGCAAAGTTGTGTGCTTACCCCGGAAAAAGTTGGAAACCAAGGATGAGAAGTGAAGAAGGGAAGGCGGTCAGATTTTAAAACTGCTCCTGGTGTTGTGTTTGAAGCCAATAGAAGAAGAAGATACACGCACGGCACACACGGAAGTGGGGGGAAGCAGAAGAAGTGTTTATTTAGAGAGAATTGATTGAATAAGAAAGAAGAAAACAAAGATGATTACCTCACTCACCTCACCTGTCGTTGGATGATAATAATAATGTCAATAGGTAATACTAGTGGGAGTTGATGATGGGTACTTGACACTGATGGGTGGATCGCTTTATATGGCCATCGATGACTATGGAAAATTCTTGGACTCTCTCGGCCCGGCGGTGAAAGCGTCCCCACACATCCAATTTTGTAAAGAAAGAAAGAAAGAAAGAGGCCTCCTCTCATCTCACTCAGGGCCACAGCCACAGCCAGCAGATTTGTGAAAACAAACCGAAAAAAGCACAAACCACCAAAACAGTTTCTGTCATTCAGCTGCTTTACGGAGTAGTCCTGAATGGATGAATCTGTTGTAAATGGATAATCTCAGAATAATCAGTGACCATCAATTTTTCCCGCGAAAATTTAATGATAAGGATCAATATATTTATTTATATACAATTCTAAGTCCCACCCACTTTCGGCATCAGCATGCGAGTGCGACCGCTACGTAGGTGCCTCATCTGAGCGGTTTTTTTCCCCCCTCGGCCAGAAAGAAGAAGTAAAGCTAAAAACAATTAAACCCCCAAAAAAAAAAAAAAAAAAAATCCTTCCTTCTTTTCGTCCAAGCTTGAAGCTTTTGCCTCGCCTCGTCAATGTTCAACGAATTTCCTGACGCACTGCCAAATGCTGCACCGCTTTTTTTTTTTTACAACAAAGTGTGCTTTTGGATTTTGCTGCTCCTCCTCTTCTCTTCCGCTGAGGAACCGATCCGGCCACAACAGTTAACAAAACGACAGTTTATGTTATAGCTCAAATTTGCTCATCCTCCCACCTTCATCCGCAACCCCCCAAAACATTGTTATCATTATCCATCTATCCTTGTTTGTTTATTATTTTTAGGGATAATTTTAGAAACGTCCCTGAGGTTTCTGACAAATTCACCAACCTCCCTTGAAGTTTACAAAATTACACAAATCTCCTCTGAAATTAAAAAGTTTTGATAACAAAATTAATCTAATTAGAAAAAGTAACATTAAAAAAATACTTTAAAAAAAGAGATAATACTTTTATTTCATAAATACCTCTTTATATGCGTGTATGCATATATGTGTGTATTACTAAAAGAATAAAAATAATTAAAAATTAAAATAATTAATACACACATTTTACCACTCAAAAATTTTATATTTAATAAATTAGACAATATAAATAAATAATAAAACTACACCAATGATTACAAGATTTAGCAAAATAAATTAGTCATCTCTTTTAACATGATATTTACTATGATTCGTATGATTTTGAATAAAATTTTTTTCAAAATTTGCATTTTTTTTTCCTCATTTCTCCTTTATTTCCACGGAATTACGTTACAACTGCTATAGATTTAAAATTTTTTGAAAAAAAAAATCTTCAGGAACAACTTTCTTTTGATTTTTATCTTTCTCTTCTACCAAAGCCCTTCTCTCACATTATGTACAACTCATTTCTAATTATTGTCAAATTCTATCAATCACAAAATAGTGTCATTAGGTATATCAATTGATTTTATTTTATAATTACAAGTCATCGTTCATTATTAACAGAATTTCCAAACAGTTATTTCAATTAATTAATTACTAATAGTTAATTAGTACTCGAATTACTTAATCGTTAGATATTAGTAAAGGAGAAATGAGGGAAAACAAAGGCAAAATTTACAAATTTTTTCTGTTCAAAATCACAAGAATTATAGCAAATATCATGTTAAAAGAGATGACAAAGCTATTTTATTGAATCTTGTGATCATTAGTGTAGTTCTATTGCTTATTTGTATTGTCTGATTTATTAAATATGAACTTTTGAATAGTGAAATGTGTGTATTAATTGTTTCTAACTTTAATTATTTTTATTCATTTGCTAATAGAACTTATATATATGCATAAGAGGTATTTATGGAATAAAAATTTCATCTCTCTCCTTAAAGTATTTTTTTTATATTATTTGTTTCTAATTGGACTAATTTTGATACAAAAATCTTAAATTTAGAGGAAGTTTATGTAATTTTATAAATTTTAGGGAAGACTAGCGAAATTGTTAAAAATCTCAGAGGAGGTTTTTGAAATTATCCCTTATTATAATTATAGATAGATGTACAGTAACTCGATACAATGGGGAAACAATTATTTTTTAAATATTATTTTTTGTTGCATCATAAATATACGTTTTCTATCCAGCTTTATGTATTTTTAAGATTTTTTTATTTCACTTACAATCAAATTACAAAAAAAGAAGAAAAAAAAGAGAGAGGGAGTTCTACAATAATTGTTCCTTAATAATCCACTACCAAATACTGGATTTGTTTGGATATCTCATTTTTTCAAATAATATTTCGCTTGCATCATAAATATATTTTTTTATATTATATACATCACATCATAAAAAGTGTTACATTAATTATTCTAAATAATATTTTAAATCATACTCTATCCAAACAAATCTACAGCTAATCTCTATCCAGACGCACCCAGTATTTGGCAATTTGTTACCAAAAAAACAAAAAGAACGTCCCGTCACCACCCGCAGATAAAATTCCGCTGTAGCACATCCACTAATACTCCTGAAGCGGTAATTTTGACAATTATGACCACCTTTTTTTTTTTAATTACTAATAAAGTAAAGAATTCCCCATAATCATAATGCAGGTCGCCTCACCTTTCCCCTCCAGTGTCCTCCCCTCTGCCCTCTGCCCTCTGCCCTCCCGAAAGAAACCAATAACTTCCTCCCTTTCTTATCTGAACTGGGGTTTTCATCATTCAAATGCCACGCTCCGAACATCAAATTGAGCCACGTTATCTGCATCTCATGGCTAGGCCCCACCACCGTTCCGATGCCTCTGCGCTCTTAATAACCCCCGCGATCTTCTTGCCTTCTGGTTCAACTCCCTTTCCCTCAATTCCTCCGTCGCTTTTTCTCATACGCAGACAGTTTCATCTCACTCAGTTAACATCCCAACTTCAATAACGCACTCTTGATTCATATTCCTTCTTTCGGCGATACAGGAATTAAAATTAATCCCTCCGAGATTCTGCTCTTTTCAGGTGTCTCAACCTATCTAAGGTCCGAGTCTGTAGTATCATATCATGGCACGCCTCTGTTTCCACGTGAATGAAATCAACATGCAATTGTTGCTTCATTTCGTATCTTGATCATTTTGTTTCCTGAGTGCTTCTTGTGCGAATTGGTTTTTTTTTTTTTTTTTAATTTTAATCCCCGGTTGTTTTTGTAAAGGGTATGCTTTAAAATTGGAATCTTTGTTGCCAGCTTAGCTGTCCCAAGTGTGTTCTTTTCTTCGTTATATGTCACAGGTACTCTTTTTTTTTTTTTTTTTCCGGAAACGATAGGTGGTCACAGGTACTCCATACGTTTGGATTTAGTCCTTAATAAAACTGTTGAAGGAATGGTTTTTTTTTCTGGTGTACTTCGCGGTGGGTGGTTCTGACGTAAACGTGATGAGAAAGTTGAGCAGGATGGGAAACCATGGCTCATTTATGGTGGTCATTATTTTTTTGTTGGACTACCAATGACTCGTTCATTGGTTCGTTTGTGTCTAAAATGTGTCCTCGTTATACGTACCGACGTTGGACGCGTATACGTGATCCTTCTTTAGCCGATGGACCGATCTTTATGGTCAGACAAGATATCTTGCTAAATCCCAAGTCATGGATTAAGATGAGGGGGATAAGATTCCTTCGATAGTTTGTAGGTGGTGAATGAAAGGGGAAAGATGAGTAGTTCTTCCGTTTTAGTTTAGTGCTGTTGTAAAAATTGATGTTTTCAGCAACAATGACTTGCGTATATGTTTTTTATTTTTGTTAATCCATTTGCATGCGCATTTTTAAAGTTTTGCTTTTCTTTCCTGGATTGGATATAGCATCATGATGGTGGTCTTTTTTATGGTTAAAAATTTTCACAAGACAGTGTTCTTATTTGGCTTGTCTTCCATTTTCTTGCCTGGCTGGCTGTGCTGTGTTTGAGTGTCATCGCTCTTTCCTCGCAGACAAACCGAATTGAGGAGAAGTTTTTATGAGGTTGACTGAGAAAGATATTCTGTTTCACCTTATAATAGTTTGAAAAAGGTGCCAAATTTGGCAAGTACGATTGATCAAAAGTAAATTATTGTTAGCCAGATCAAAAACAGAACTAGGAGAATAAGTTGGAGGTCTTTTCAATTTTTCCTTTTTCTTTATCAGGCTTTAGTTGACAAAGACGGGCAAAATAACTTTTTTTTAAGCTGAGTGCTATTGGATTACTTTTATCAGTGATATTGTCGGAGAGTAGCTTCATTTTGAGGTGCTGATAATATGGTGTTCTGATTAGTAACTAACTTTTCTAATCTCCCTCCCTCCCTCTCTCTCTCTCTCTCTCTCTCTCTCTCTCTCTCTCTCTCTCTTTCTGATCTCAAGCTGTTCTTCCAGGAAAATTTTCTGATGGGAGGCGCTTGTTCTTTGAAGAGAGATTATAGTGCTGATGGATATGGACTCCATAGAGGCATTTCCGGCATGTACTTCAAATGTGGATATTCGAAAGAGCGAAGGGCCTCGGTTCACTCAAATTCTGGTTGCCCCCCACAAGGAGGTAGCTGTCCATCGCTCATGGAACTTTGCATTTACAAGATACGCCAGGTGCTTGTTTCTTTAATTGCTTCCCTGTTATTTAAAAATGGTGGTCGTTTTTCTCATTCAATTCTTGGCCTTTTGAAATTCCACAGGAAATTCACAAATATACTTCATTCTATATGCTGCCAAGAGATATAAGCCAGTTGATATTTAATGATCTGGCGTCCTGCCACGCTCTTTCAGATTGTTCTATTAAAGCTTTCAGAGACTGTGCTCTGCAGGTGATTGATAGGCGGAGGTTTTCCTTTTAATCCTGCTTAATCATTTTACAGCCTGATTGTCTCATTGTTCTGTCTGATGGTGACAGGATATATGCCTGGCAGATTATCCAGGAGTGAGAGACAGTTGGATGGATGTCATTACTTCACAAGGATCGTCTTTACTTACCATTCAGCTTTCAAGTTCTGGTCTTACAGATGTAGGCTTGGCTCAGCTTAAGAATTGCTCAAACCTCCAAGCACTATTGTTTGATCGTTTTGATAATGTCTCTGAACATGGCCTAAAGCAACTTGATGGTTGTAAGTTTTGCATTCTAACATACTGTTTTATATGTCGGCTCTTGCTGATAGCGGTCATAATTGATTTCTCTAAGTGAGTGTGTGTACTGAGGAGGTTTTATGTTGTTTCACTATTACTAGGAAATATGGAATGCTTGATCTTCCATGACCTGCTAACTACAAGATCTCATAGAGAATTCGAGTTGCGTTGGCTAGTAAATGTATATGCAAGTGCTTTGTGCATTATATGCAGTGTATATACATTGCTGCTACAGATGTATCTACATGTCTATTCATATATATGCATATTTAGGCTTAAAAAATGGAGTATGATGCATAAACAATCACATCACATAAAATTGAGGGTGACAAAATTTCTGATTGTCATTCACCAACTGCAAATTGTCCTAGTGTATTTTTTTTGTTATATTTTGCTGGTAAATACATGTCAAATGAATTTGTTGAAAATTCTGAAGTTTAAGGTATCTTGCTTCAGGTCTTTCAAACTTGGCATATTTGGGTTTTATCAAAAGCAATGCCCTTACCCGTGAAGGAATGCAGGCTTTATCCAGCCTGTTTAATTTGGAAAAGTTGGATTTTGATAGGTGCCCTAGGATTCATGGTGGACTTGTGCATCTAAAAGGTTAGCTTTCTTTCTAAGTATCTAGCATTCATGAAAAAAGACTCCTGCCATATCTATTGAAACCTTTTACACTCTTGTCATCCCTCTCCCTTCCAACTATCCATCTCTCTCTCTCTCTCTCTCTCTCTCTCTCTCTCTCTGTGAGACACACACACACAGAGTGTATAATAACCGAAGTATGCTAAAATCTGTACTTGGCAAATCCTCTGGTAGACCATGATATTGTTGTGTAATTGGCATTTATACTCCTTGAGTTGGGTATGGTATCCATGTTTTTCCGTGTTGAACAAAGTGTTGTCAAGTTTTGGACTAGAAGAATATGAGAGACCCTCATAGGAAAAAGAAAAAAGGACTTTTGAACCACAAAACAAGTCTTTGATAGGCGGTTTCTTGCACTGGTACAAGTTCAGTCACTGGTTTTAGTTCTTATGCTAATTTTATTAAGTGCTGATTCTGTCAAAGGGATTGTTAGTTTATTGCTTGCTTTGATCTCAGCATAGAAGTCTTCTTCTTACAGGTCTGACAAAGCTGAAGTCTCTTAAGATCAGGTGTTGTAAATGCATTACAGATTCCGACATGGAGTCTCTTGCAGGTATTTTTGGGAGCACCGTCTGCTTTGCGTTGCAAGTGCTCAACTTTTGGTGGAATTTGTTGATCTTCAAATTTTCATGCTTCAGGGCTTATAAATTTGAAGGAATTACAGATTTCATCTGTTAACATTACGAACATTGGAGTTTCATATTTGGAAGGTACGGCTGAGTATTTCCTATGTCATTTCTTTTTTAGTAACGATGAATGACTATCTACTGTATTTCTGTAAATCACATTCTACTAAACTGGCTTAGTCTGAGAGTAACATTTTGACAGGATCCTCTATTGAGAGATTGGAAGAAATTTAACTTTAAAAGAATTGTATTTGCACCCAAAAATACCTGTGCTAATGTAGAACTTGAAATATTTCTAGAGGTTCTCATGTCTTTCTCTCTTTTTTCAATCTGTAATCAATACCGCGATAAAGTTAAACTTGCTCACTAAGCTATCACAGGTTATTGGTTCCTTTCAGTTATCCAATTTGTTAAAATAAAGTTTCTATATATTGTTGAATTTGTGTGTTTTGTTAGTAATTACATCTAATTTTCATTTATTAATTAGATCAAGCATGGTCTCCTAATGACACCACATGCTGTGACAGGTTTAAGCAATCTCATCTCACTCACTGTGGAAGGATGCAATGTTACTGCATCATGTTTGGATCCAATTTCAGGTTTCTTCCTCTATATTTTTCCTGATCCTGTAGATGTATTAGATCAAGGGAAACAACAGTTGGATTTGGAGATTTATATTGAATTGTACTGCATTTATTTGATAAACTCAAGTCAACGATGTTGAATGAAGAAATTGCATGTTTTGATCTTGGGAATATTCTATGGCAGTTATCAGAAATCTGTTGCAAGTGGTCCACTGGGTAATTAATTTGCAAGTTATACACCAAATCTATATTGCTGGGTGTTTTTGCAAATATTCTACTTCTAGTGATTAATGACGCAAAAAGAAATAAGCAAAAATCTATCTTATGTAGGAGAACATTAAGTTGTTTATATCAATGCAACTGCCTTATTTGTATTGGAGTAGGATTTCTGTGATTCACTTTCATACCTTAGTCATTGCATTTAGAGCTGCAATGAGGATTTCCATTGCCTACGTCTGAATGGGGATTAAACTATTTATGTTCCTTACTTTGATGGTCCTATCTCATGCTTCAGACTTATTTCATAGGGCTATTGACTTTACGCAACATATATAGTGCGTATTTCACTACTTTAGGAGTGAACCTTAACACTAGGTTAGGTTTCTCCACTATGACGTGGGAGGTCAATGAGTTGGGACATAGAACACCCTCTCCGATTTTAGTAGTAGATTTGGATGCAACTAGTTGTCCTTAGACCTAATCACCAAGCAGTTTTTCCTTGTTGGTTTTACGACTTCCGTTCACTTTTATACTAGTGGCCTTTTATTCTTATTGTTTATTATCTTTTTGTCAGCTCTTATTTCGCTGCAGCATTTGGATCTGAATAGGTGTTCTCTTTCTGATGATGGATTTGACTTAATTTCAGGTGATTTTTTAAGGTTATGCACTTCATGTGACTGTCTTCAAAATGCAAGATTATTTTTTCCCTTGAGCTTAGAGTTTTATTGTCGATCCTGCAGCATTCAGACATTTGAAGGTGTTGAATTTGGGGTTCAATGATGTTACAGATGCATGTCTAGTGCATCTGAAAGGTTATTTCCTTGCCTTCCTTGTACAATTTCACCTTCTAATATCTATAGATCTAGCAAAACATTCATTTGAATCTATGTAATAGCATTATTTTGTTTTCACATATCACGAATGTATATTTGTTGCTTTTACCCAATTGATGGATCTGCAGTGGAACATGTTCCATGACATACCTAGTTCATTGATCCATCTGGCTAATTAAGGATTTGGATAATATATAAGATTTCTTTGAATTCTACAAAGGTTGATTCTATTTCAGAGTTAAATACTTCAAGCTATATAAACTAAATAAATCTTTTGAATGTTATGCCAAGTATTGCACTTCTCTGAATCTAAAACCAAAATGTTTCCTTTGTATGGTGTGTCATCCAAATATCCTTACAGGCACATGCAAATGTGATATATTTTGCTGTTGTTTCATGGATAATCAGAAATTTTCACTTTGTTATTTGTCTTTTTTTAGGTCTAACAAGATTGGAAAGTCTAAATCTGGATTCCACACGTGTTGGTGATGGCGGACTTGCTAACTTAGTTGGTAGTTACTTGTTTATATTTAATGACAAGTAGGTGTTTTTAACGAGTAAAACAAACATTCTTTTGTCTGACCGGTTAAAGTTGGTAACTCATGTCTTCATGAGTAAATATTGAAGTGAAGATTTCTATTGACTTAAATGAGACTGTATTTGAATATTTCAGGGCTACAAGGTTTAAGAAAGCTTCACCTGTCAGATACTGAAGTTGGTAGTGAAGGGCTTCGCCATCTATCTGGTAGGATGTTCTTCTTACACCGCTGTGTGGTACTTTCCGAGGTGCTTGATGAGTAATTTAGAACTCTTTTTTTAGCAGAGCTATGTTTTGAATGCCCTCTCATATCTTTAAATGGGAAGCACAATTGCTGCTCTCTCATGCATATGACTCTTTTAGTTGTATTGTTTCAAGAATTTATTTTGTGTCTGTTGATATAGACTTCGTGAATGATTGCTGAAATTTTTTATTTTGGTTAGTGCAATGATTTGCGCGCACAGGGAAGCTAAATGTAGCGAGAAATATTTAAAAATAAATTCTGTTTATTGTTTTTCGTGCCTGTCAATCGTAACATCATTAGGTTATACTGCCACAAAATGGAAAATAGAGCTTGGATTATTTTGATTATTGTAATTTGGAAATGATTAAGTTGATTCTAATCTCAACTTTTTTACTGCAAAATGTTGGGATTGTCTGCAACTTTTGTGTTTTAATGGATAAGCTATAATGTGGATTTTGCAACTTATAATAGACCTGGTATTATTTCTGTTACCTTCTGTATGTGTTATATTTGGAGAATATATTGACTCGAGTCTATCTGACATCTAAGGTCTGACCAACTTGGAGGAAATCAATCTGGCATTTACATCAGTAACTGATGGTGGGTTGGAAAAGTTATCCCAGTTGACAAATCTCAAATCACTGAATTTGGACGCTCCCCAAATTACTGACCATGGTCTGGAAATGCTTACAGGTAATGATGAAATGGATTACGTGTGTGGATTTTCATCTTCACATTGTCTGTCACAAGTGCCATTATATCTGTTTTCCTTTTGGACGAGGTTTGATGCTGTTAATGTTAGTTCCTAATTGCTCATCTGCATCGTGGTCGCTTAATACTTCTCTTTTTGGTTGTTGATCTTTTTTTTCTTTTTTTTTTTTATAATCTAATGATGTTATGATGATGGCATATGTAATTGGATTTCCTAAACTGAGGCAACATGTATTTCTTTCTTTTAGAACCATTTTTGGAAGAAAAATTATTTCTGTCCTTTTTTCTTGCTTGTCTCTCGTCCCAGAGCGGAGGTGGCAACATAGCTCAATTCAAAGTACTATAACTATTGGTAGTTTATCAGGAAAGTAGAGTGGAGGTTAAGTACTATCTAGATTGCTTACCTTTTTTTTCTGTTAATAATCACATTTTCCGCTTGTGGATTTTCCTAATTGTCTGGTTAATATTGTCCAACCTGGTTGTATGACCTGAAGAATATTCTATAGCTTCACTGATGTATTTTGTGGTGACTTAAATGAATAATACTTCCTAGTGCAGGTTTGACTGAAGTGACCCACTTGGATCTGTTTGGAGCTCATATTTCAGACTCTGGAGTAAACTGCTTGTCATGTAACTCCCTTTTCTCATTCCTCTGACCTAGCTTCATTATTGACTGCTAGCTATTGTTTGATTGACCATCTGTTCCTTTTTTTTTTAATCTTAAATTAGATTTCAAAAACCTACAATCTCTCGACTTATGTGGTGGAAAGTTGACGGATGCTGGAGTGAAGAATATCAAATATCTTACCTCCCTGATGATTTTGAACCTGTCACAAAATCTCGACCTTACTGATACAGCTTTGAAGTTTATCTCTGGTATGTCTGCTCTAATGCCGCTTTGGGCATGAGAGATATGCTTATGCTGGTTTAACTTTGCGAGAGGTTGAAGCTTTTTGTGTAACTAAAAAGAGTATGTCTAGTCCAATACCTCTTGGGTATTTTTTTTTTAATTTCTCTCTGCTGTATTTAATTTAATTGGGTTATTTATCCTGATGTTGATAGTTCTTTTTTTTTTTTTGGAATTATAAAATATTGGTGTTGCACTAATGTCAGACTTCTGAGCTTAAAAAATAGAATGAAATAAATTAGAGCTGATTGGAAATCGACGACTCCATAAAATTAAAGAAGAAAAGGCCACCTGAGGAGTGGATGACTTCTTAGATTGATGACTTGTTGGTTTATTTAGGGAAGGCTGGTAAAATCTTCAATAGTGCTATTTCTTTCGATTTCGAAAAAAAAAAAAAAGAAGAAGCACTATGTAGGCAAATTCCCATTGAACAAGTACTGAAGATTTTGAAATAGTCATTGCTGAAAAATGCATGCAGGGCTGGTTGCGCTGGTATGTCTGAATGTGTCGTATTCACGCATCACGAATGAGGGTCTGGAGTATCTGAAGCCTCTGAAGAATTTGAGTTCATTGTATTTGGACTTCTGCAATGTGACCGGATCAGGAATCAGAAAGCTTCAGTCCAAGTTCCTCCCAAGTCTCGTAAGGTTCCGCCCCGAGTGCTAGACACAAAAATGGTCAGGTCAGGTCAGGTATTACGAGCCGTTTGGCTGCCTGCTATTTGCTGTGTAAATACTCTTAAGCTAAGCTAAGCTAGCAGTCGGGAGGTTGTTTTGAAGATTTAACAAGAAAGGGAAGAACGTTGTGGGTATAAATGGGGGTTGTAAATACTAAACAGTTGTTGTTCCATGGGATGGATGATAATAATGAAGTACTCTTTTTTTTTTTTTTTTTTTTTTTTTGCAAATTCTGTACTTTTGGGACTAAATGATGACCCATTTCGTGCTCATTCACTGATGTTCTAATCTCTACGCCATTACTAGCAGATATCAGTCATATCACCCGAAAGACAGGTTGCCATGTAAATTCGTCAAATCTTGTTTCTCCCGTACTAATGCTACAGTGATATTATTAAATGACTAAAGCATTCATTATTGTGGGAACAGATGGTCAAATAAATGAACGACGAGGAGGGGTTGCATTTAATTGATCGGATTGCATGGATAGTAACATAAGACGCACACATTAAAATAACCGAATAATATATAAGAAGATATGTCTATACTCATCCTATGAATTTAGTACAACTGTCTTTTCTTTCCCACACACTGATATGCACACTGCATTACAACAACCGACATTTTGTAGGTCAAGAATGACAAACCAGCAAAATCACACTCTATAGAAAAAAAATTTAAAAAAAAAAAAAAGAAAAAAGAAAAAAGAGACACTAACTATCTAAAGGAGTAAAGGGTCATGATGAACTGATAACGGAGAGGCAAAGATGGCCGAGCAGAAACAAAGCAAAAACGAAATCTCTGCCACTACATCTTGCCCAAGAATGAAACAAAAAAGGTCGTCGTCCTATGTGAGATACAAAAACATGGCTGTCATACTATTGGGATGCATTTTCCAAGTGGATACAAGAGCTGTGGGCAGCAACAGCTGATACAGCATAAAAAACCTGCAGCATGATTTGGTCCATGTATCAGCGTAAGCAACAAACGTGATGTCAAATGCAAACAGAAAAATCAATCTTAGACTCAAAACATACAAAACGTTAGGCAACAACAACTTGCTGACAATACGAGCGACCTATACATAACATATGATTTATGTAAGCATAGGAGGAGACCATCCTGACAACTGTTGATTTTTAGCATTTTTCCTATGTAAAAATGATGACAAGCTCTTCCTTTCCAGGATTCATGCAGTAATTCTGAAATTGTGACCAAGTTCCTTGCTATAATCAGAATTACAAGTTTAACAACATGCTGATGCGTCAGCAGTTCTGTCCTCCACATAATGATTCACATAGACTACTAGAGTATATAGCATTGCATGTGCGAACTTGACCAGGAGCTCCAACAAATCTTCAGTGATAATGTTAATGGATGTCAATATTCTCCTGTGAATGCATACAATTCCTCTACAGCATACAAGAATTGACCTCCAATTCTCGTTGCATTAGCCGAACGTCAACACAGTTGCATGCGTAGATTGGTAATAATCTGTTGGGTTTTCCACTTAAGATTTGATTTCAAGGATTTTCATATACTTTTAGATGCAAACAAATGCAGAAAATGAAAGATGGAAAGAGAAGGCATGATTTCATCAAGTCCCCATATCGTCACAAATGCAACCTAACCGATTAGCAAGTTGCCATGTTCAGAATTACTCTCGATCTTCTATTATACTACACCGCTGCCATAAAAAAGATTTAGGCCTTGTTGAATAGTTTAACATACGACTAGACAAGCGTTTTACCAGCTTCCGGTTCTTTTTCATGGTGTTCCATTAGTTTGGCAATCATAGTCTACACAGGACTATAGCATTTAAAATGCATAGCAAGCGTTGCTTTGAAAATTATCTTGCACACAGCACTGATTTAGACTAGCCTCAGAAGTCAAATGTTTTATATATTTCAGGCCCTGTTCCCATTTTCAAATCTTAGAATGGCATGGGGGAAAAAAAATTTGTAAGGACTGAAAATTATACACCTGCCTGATATAGTAGGAATATTGGCGGAAATATGGTCATGTAAAAAAATGCTTCTCTCGTTTAATCAGTGGCGAAAATTATACAACTAGACTGATACTGCATTCCACATCTAGTTTGAGCAGATTACACAGCAGTGAGTCTAAGTTCCCTTAGGCACCAAAAAGTGGAGGTTTGACAATGGAAATAAAAATGCACCTCCAATGGCTTTTAATCCATGGCTTTAAAATAACGGGGAACAATCAGTCATACATGCGGTTATGAGTCCAAAATTTTGGTTACCTACATAACAGTGAGATATTCGTGAAGAGTATGATTAACATTAAAATGTACAGTTAGAAAATATCACCACCAAGGGATAACAGCAAAATATACAGTTAGAAAATTCTCTGAGTATGCAAGTAATATCATTAGCATGCTACAACTTACATGGTCTGCAAGCACTAGAGTGATAACAGTGACGAGTAGTTTAAAAAGTCTTTTCAGCTTCCCAAGGAGTGCAATCAGCAAAAGCTTATGCATGCTCAAGGGCATAAAAAAGCTTAGAAACTCGTCGCCTCAACAATGGTTCCAGGCGAAAAGAAGGAATACCGCTCTGCCACCTTTTTGCTTCGTACATCTCATTCCATGCCTGTACTATCTCATCAATGTTGAATCCCAAGCCTAAAAGCAATCAAAGTTGTCAGAAATATTGGCAAGCAAAAATCAAATTACATTTTACTTAAAATGATTCAACTACACCCAAAGATATGCGTGTCAAGATTCACCTTCTGATGCAGTATCATTGGAACAGTGATTTTTTATCATAACAGCAATATCTGTTGGAGAAGCCCCAGCAAGTTGAAACTTTTCTACAGCAACCTCCAAACATTCTTGCCAAACAGGAAGCCCTAGCTTGAATTCCATTATTGATCTTTCATAAAGCATGGTACCCCACAACAGATTTATCTGAGACCTCATATTTGTTGCCTGCTCGGTAGCTTCATCTTCTGACACGTCCGTGAACATGTCATCCAACTTCATTTTCTGCAACATGGCTTTGATTTTATTTGGGTTGTGCAGATTAAATAAACGCAGTTCTTCTGCTTCCTCCCACATCTGCATACCCCTTTCCATATTTTCCTCAGCATTGTTGTAAAGCTGAAGAACTTCTGTAGAAGGCCACAATTCCAAATTAACATTTGTCCCAATCGCGTAATACCATGAAAGTTTTGCCTGCTCAAACTGTTGCTGCCCAAGAGCTAGAATGCCTTCATAGAAATTTGGCTTGATAAGAAGTGCTTCTTCATATTTCTTACCAGCTGCGGAGTATTCCTTTTGTGCCCAACCATATGCATTTTTCACCTGCTCTAACACAGACTCCCTTGAAGCATCTTCAGTGAGGTAAACTCTCTTCCTGGCCCTTGACATATGTACATTCCCCCAGTTGAACAAAGCCAAAGCAGCCATCTCCTGAAACTTCTCAGCAGCCATGTTGAACAGGTCTTGTGCCTCTTCACTTGTGACTGTCTCTTCCAAAGCCTCAGAGTAGAGCTTCATTCCAAGCTCATGCAGATCTAAGTAAGAATCAGGATCAAATCCAACATAGTTCTTGAATAGGTAAGCAAACTGGATGATCCAATCCTCAATACAAAATGGTCTATTTAGAAACTCCATACTTCTTCCCAAATTTCCATTTTGCATCTTTTGGGTTTCTTTAATGTCAAGTGTGTGCATCTCTTCTTTCCTTTTTACCTTCTCATAAAATGGATCTTGCTCTGGACTAACTTCCACGGCATACAACCTGAAAGAACCGTGATCAGCAGCTGCTTCAGCCAACCTTAGTTCCTCAGTATTAGTGATTGTGACCAAATCACCTTCTTGGTCCCTGTATTTCATAAGAACAGCTCTCGATATTGGGAACCGGTCACTTATAGCCTCCCTTAGCTGCAAAATGCTACAATTAGTAGGAATCTGGGCCCACCTTATATCTTCTCCAAACACTAATTTTATTGTCTGCTTAGGCTCTTTATCAGTGATGCTAGTTCTTCTTTCCTCCACCACCAATTTATCTTCAGCTTTCTTCTCCTCGATCTTGTCCTCAACTTCCTCCTCAAATTTGCTCTCAGTCTCTGTTGCATTAATCTCCGGCTCAGAATTCTTTTCAACTTCTATAGCACCTTCCGCTCCTTCATTCTTGTCACCTACCTTCTTTTCTTCTATTTTGTTGATTTTCTTCTTTTGGACTTTCTCTTTCAAAATCTCTATTGGATCTGAAGTAAAAGGTGGTTCAACAGATTCAGGAAATGGGACCAGATCTACAGGAATGTCATTTGCAGTCGAACCTTTTTGCTCTATTGTTCTTTTCAACCTTTCATAAATCTCAGTTGCCATAAGATTGTTAGGCTCCATCTTCAGCACTGAATTAACATCTCTCAAGGCCAAATCCAACCTATTCAGAGCCTCATAACACCTAGCTCTCTTCAAGAGTGCCTTACTGTACTTAGGGGTGACTTCAAGAGCTAAATTGCACTCATGGATAGCCCTAGGGTACTCGCTCAGGCCCATCTGCATATAACACGCAGCCATATTACTCCGCAGATGGGATACATCTGTATGATTTCTGGGGAGCAATTTTATTGCCTTGTCATATTTCAACATAGCTCCTTCATGGTCCCTCTTTTGAAACAACTTATTTCCTTCATCCTTCAGGTCATGTGACATAGAAATGAAGACTGCAGTGTCCTTGTCATAAGCTCTTGGGCTATTCCCATTTCCATTACTCTGCTTCACGTTGGATCCGCCAGATTTACCTCCTGATTGTTTGTTCTTCATACTTCGCCTCCCCATTGTCTATACAATACGTCTCAAGCTAAACTAATATTCACGTTCACAAAGTACCTTAAAATGTTAATTCGACCCCAAACATTTAAAACCAATTCAATCCAGGAAAACTAAGCGGGTGAATCCCCTTCTTTCTTTTATGAGAAAAACAATTAGCACCTTTAGACTCAGACCTTCAAGAACAAAATCACAATTTTATAAAGCTTCAAACTTTCGACTCTAGCAGCGAGCCAATCCAATTGAGCACAAATAGATTCACCAACTAGAAACAAGCTCGAATGTAGGACAACAACAAAAACCCACAAAAAAAAAAAAATATCTCGTAAAAACTCTGGCAACTAATCAAAACCACACACAAACAACTCGAAGAACCAAACTCTTTTATCTCTTCAATAACACACAGATACCTAAGAAATGGAAAGCCCGCAAATTATACCAAGAAATCCCCGTTTATTTCCCTCCAAACCAGGAGATATCCTAATTCAGAGGGAAAAACAGTAGTACAGAAAAGAGACCTTATTTGCAGCTACAAAATAAGAGATATTTGACAATCCAGATTGTGGCTCTATCCTTGAAGGAGTCAAGTACAAGTAAGGAATAATAATATATAAGATGAAGGACACTTAACTTAAAGATTCTGACTTTCTTCAAGAACCATCAAATACGTTTCAGGAGGTTTCCGGTGAGGAAATTGGGATATTGGTTAAGGGAATTTGAAGAAATGCCGACCGCTAATGCCTTGTCGTTCTTTTCCTGGTATCTTGTTAAAGAGTCTCAAGCAATCCTGACGTTAAAGCCACAAAAATATAAAGCTCGAAATTCTTTTTTTTTTTTTTTTTTTCTCCCCTACCGGTGGATTTATATATATTTTATATTTTTTTTCTTGTTGATGACTTCACCGCTATGACAACCCGACAATGGTAGTGGAGCCCGCACTTCCGTGTTATCCAAGGTTGTGGGGGAAAGTGTTCTTTTGCGTGGGGAAGCCAACGGCAAATATCTCGTTGATTTGACGGTTGACTCTCAACTGCTTCAAAGCACTTAAAACCTTAAACAAAATGCAATCCCTAGAAAAGACAAAAGTTCTTTTTTATTTTTATTTTTTTGGAAATGTTAATATGAACACCAATTCCAAATAAAAATTAAATGCTCTAGTAGATTTTCACTACTGTCAAGCATCATCAATTTTTATGAGCTCGTTTGGAGAACGAAAAAGGTTGTGAAAGTTACTTGCACTTATTCTGAAAAAAAATGGAAAAGGAAAGAAGAATTTGAGATTTGCAAGTAACCCAAACTTGAAGTAAAGGTTGGACGCGGAACAGTAGCTCTTCCATTCCATTTCCATGGGGGGTTTCTTCTCCTTTTGGTTTTGGGTTGAAACTTGAAAGAGCAATTGCCTAATAACTTTGAAAATGCTTCGCTTTACGTTAAAGACGTGGGTGGAAGATAAATAGTTTTTGACCCCAGCCACAGGACCACATATATTATTGCTGATTACCATATATATATATATTCTAGAATCCAAATCAATAATCTATATATACTTATTATTAATGAGTAGGGGTTTGGTGTTAACAAAAAAAAAAATGTTAGCATTTACCCTTTTAATAACATTTACCATTATTTATTCATATTTTATTTGAAAAACACGTCACTCTTATATAACTATCACTACATAACTATCATTACATTTCCCGATTAAGTGTTTAACAAATCCACTAATGAACATTGAGATTGCATCGCCTCCCCAAAATCTCTTTAACTAATTTTTTATTCTATATCTTTTTAATATTTATTTATTTTCTAAAATATGCGGATACATAGTGTGTGTGTGTCCCACCCATTAGTATATATATATATATAAAGGGAGAAGAGAGAGGATTTGATGTAAACGTTCTATTGTGTCACTTATGTACATTCATTTTTGTCCTCAAAAAAATTTAGTTTTATTTTAATTATCTAAATGCATATTGTCAAAGATAATTACCCATCAACATTTCTCAATTTACTATATAAACGTACTTTTTAACTATCCCTAAGTAGTAATTACCAACCTAACAATCATTTTGTAAAAATAATTTAAATTATTAAAATATTCTTTAACAATAAAAGTTTATATGTAAAATTCATTCACCATAAAGTACCATTAATTGAAGGAACGGCGAAGCATGACCGCAATGGTGAATAAGGTATAGTGCAGGACGGCAGAATAAAATAATGCATGAAAGTGTGAGGCGGGGCAGGAGGTGGGCCGGCTCACCCACATTATTGTTATCCCAGTCCAGGTCCCGAAGCCCACACAACACGTGACAAAAGAAAAAGGAATCCCACTAACCGTAAACTGTCCAACTACCACTCACCCACGCCCACGCTCAGTGCCAGTCTGGTCTCGCCGCTTTTTTTAAAGATCCGCGTCCGCCCACGCTTTCCACCTGCATCCGCCACCGTGCTAGCTCTAACCTTTCAATTCAATTTGCAGTTTGTTAGTATTTCTTTGCATCACAAGCCACCGCTCAATATGCTCTTTTTTTTGAAAAAAAAATTTTGTTTGAGTTAAAACTTAGAAGGCAGGTAAGCTGTACAGTACACCATTCATTCAGTCCTACAATTTGGCATAAGCTTCGATCCTTTTGTGTTGTTTACAAAAGAGTATTCCCTTTGTCTTTTGAACTTCAGTGGTTATGTACTCATTGGACCACCGATTTCTTTGCTGATTGTCTGAGAAATTTAGGGGGTGCTTGGTTCTTGCTTTGGAATTGGAAAGGAAAACGGAATAATTCCTAGAGGGTCCACTAACGAGGGTTTTGATCAATTCCTCTCAATTTGATCGGAAATCATGAATGGTCAAATTTTAATGCATGATTCCAAAATTTCAATTTCTTTTACACTGGACCAGACGTGCAATATTGAAATTATTATAATTCCAAGTACCAAAAACCCTGAACCAAGCGCCCGCCCCTTTATGTGTATCATCAGATATGGGGCACATGGCCTTTCCACCATACTAAGTTGAGCCAAGGGAACTGTACACCAGATTGTTTCGACAGAGCCATCGCCAATTGAGGTGTAAAGGAGCCAGATGCCCCAAAGCTAGCTAGCGAGTAGAATCTTTATCATACATGCTAGAAGACACAGAATAAATTGATATTAACAGTGCAGGAGATATTGATATGCCGATTCCTAATGTTTCCGATTTGAAGTGCATTTAGGACAATTGACTAATTCTTTTCAATTTTCATTTAGACGGAGTCATGTGAAGTCACATAACCTTGTCAGAAATTTTAGTCTTGTATTTTCTTTTAGAGGAGAGTGGGAGAAAGAAATGAAATCAGAATAGAAATTAATTTTAGGACGTACGAATGTATGTCTTTGTAATTTTAGTAGTTTTTTTAATAATTTTTTGAACTTAAAAAAAGAACTCGTGACTATATTCATTCTGATAAGAATTAAAAAAATGAGTCAATTGTTCTAAATGTGTTTCAAATTTTGAAAAGTTAAGAACCGGATTTACTTTGACCCAAACTTTGGAGACTAAAATCGCTCATATGACAAAATTTTGTAAACCAAAACTGCAATGCATTTTTTCCGTGCAAGAAAAATTTAGGTTGTACTTTGTAGAACCACGTAATCTCAAACAGGTAAGAAATGAAAATAATGACGTGTCAATGCCTGCCAAAGTATCGGCCTTTATCCACGTGCCCAGTCGTGATTGGTGAAAGTGCGTCAGGTTGGAATTACTAATTAATCACCATCTCCTCCCTCGAGAGAAATCTAACGGAGTATACAAACCTTAGCTGGGGAAAGACATACTGCTTTGTAGATCATTGCCAACCGGAATTTTATTTTTCTTCAGACATAGAAATTAGGGTTCGATCAAACAATCAACAGAGAGAGAAGAAGGCAACGAAGATGAAGAGACAGACATGGAGTTGGGTCCTACTTCTATCCGTTAATCTCTTCAACCTCGCTGCAGTCTTTTCGGATCAAATTTTCCCTGCTCATACTGGTATTCAATATCAATAATTCCATTTATTGAACTTATTTATTTTTGTTTTCTTTTTTTTTTTTGGCTGGGAATTTTTTCGTCGGATTTTGCAAGTTCAGTTCCATACGTGGTTCGACATTCTTAGTATTAAGATTGGAAATTCATGCCCTTTGAGCTGACTGACTTGGGTATACTTTAATATTTTGTTGCCATTTGCTTTCTATTTTGATGATTGGATTATTTTCTGTAACAGTATCTAATACTATTTATATGTTTGGTCCAGAGTAATAACATCAACTGGTTTACCATTCATATCCCAGATGCTTAGCACACTGCTGCTTCTTTATGTCTTTATTTAGATTTGGTTTGAGCATTTTCATAGTCGTATGGTATCTGGGATTTAGGGACCGAGCTGTGGCCATTGGCGCTTGATGAAATTATCCTACTTTCTGGGATGGCATTGATGAATTGGTATTATCTAGCTTAGTTTTCTCAGTGTTATTTGGAATTTTAGCTTAAATGTGTGTGATCATTCGTGTGTTGTACTGATGGTCTTATTGGGGTGAAACGAAGCAGCGATCAGGTCTTCCCTTTGGAAAGCCGGGAGAGGGAATTGGTGCAATGGCTAGATTTCTTCTGGCATAGTTTTTGAATTGACTACAATGGCCAGTTTCCTTTAGTTAGAGTTTGTGAATTATATAATGGCTACGTTTCCTTGAGGAAATCGTGGGGAGTGCAAACAATAGGGTATTACAGATATCAGATTGGCTCTAAGACTGGTACTGCTTCTTAGAAGGCTGCTTATGTCCTATCTGTCATGTGGGATTGTACTTGCTGGGTTTGGAGCTTTGGTTTTTCTAGAGAAAATAGTTCTATGGTTGGTTTTTGCATCTTGGTTGAATAGGCGCTCTTCGTACTGGTTTATTTCTATATTACTATTGACTTGCCTATTCAATTTGTGCTTCAAACTTATGGTTGTTCGGCTGTTCTTGACATCAGGTGGGAGTTTCAGTAGAAGTTCTCGAGAACCTAAATATAAAATCGAATTCCATACAGATGATGCACCTTTTCATCCTGTAAGTGCTTTGGCTTAGGACACTACTTTGTTTTTGTTCATTCTTCTTTGTTCCTCCGGAGGT